GTGTGTGTGTGTGTGTGTGTGTGTGTGTGTGTGTGTGTGCGCGCGTGTGTGTGCATGTGTGTGTGCACTGTGTGATTGTGTATATGATTTTTTTGTCACATACACTTTTCAGTTAGAACAACACACTTTCTCCTTTGTGTTTTCCCTGATGAAACAATCTACTTCTTAACTTCATAATAAGGTTTTCTCCTTCAGTCCAGTTTGCTGCTGGTTTGATGTTAAATCCAGAGATGACCACACCTTTGGCACAGACACTGATTTGTAGGCAAAAAATGTTTATTACAGCTGCAGACGTGATGTGTTTTAAGATCTTACAAACTGTCACATCTGGATTTTTTTAAGCAGTAGACACGACTGAAGGTTTACTCGCTGCCTCTGGCGCTTGTAGAAACAGTTTTACTGAGATGTAACCAAATGTGTTTTGAGCATATAAAGACAGGCAGTTTTGGTAAAGATCTCAGATTTTTGTAAGTGTATTCTGGACATTTACACAACATAAAGTTGAGTATGACTGTGACTTTGTATTCATGCTTCCCTTGAAAACAAAACCTACTTTGTTGGAGTACCTCTATCTGTGATGCTGATCCAGATAAGCAGATCCAATTTCGAAGCTGTCATGACAAAGATGTGGGTCTGCAGATAAATACAACCTGCTTTGTTTAAACGTTAGAGTTCTAAAAATGAACACCATGTAAATGTTCAAAACAATGTTTAAGTTCCCCAATGTGCAATGATTCTTGCCTCTATTAAACATCAGGTTGTTTATCATCGGGACAACAAATCCAAACAGCATATAAACTTATCCCGAAGCACGTATCAGCTTCAGCTAGCGTGAATCCATCCTATCAGCAGCCACATTTATTTCCTCTTTCTTCTTATTATTTGTTCTCCTTTCCAAGCTTTTATGGAAAGGGCTTTATAACTGTATGGTTGAATGAATTAACAGTGAATTTTCAATTTCCCTGAAATATTTGGTGATGAGAGCAGCAAAAGCACTGGAGCAAATTTCCTGTGTAAATTTTTACAGCACACAAGGACAACCTTTAGTGCTCATGGTCATTTTTAAATGTGAGGCCTTCAGTCAATGGGAGGCACAAAAAGTCGTCATACACTTCTGGAGTTTAATATGACCCTGCAAGCAACATCCACTGGTGTGAAAACAATAGGTTCTCCTCTCTCTGTCTACATGTCTCTGTATTTTCCTTATATTTATATATTATATTTCTTCTGTGCGTAAAACTATCTAAAAATATATTTTTCCCCTGCTTTTCTGTCCTTCACCTCTTTCTGTTTTGTTGTTCCTCTTAATGTGTGTATGTGTGTGTGTGTGTGTGTGTGTGTGTGTGTGTGTGTGNATGGTGCTTTCAGCTTCTCTGCCTTCCATAGAGCAGAGCAGGGAGCTGAGGAGTTGCTGGCTAGGACCCAGCTCCAGCCGCGGCTAGCAAGGCCTCATCCCCGACACCGGGCAACTGACGCATGACTACACAAGCCCGGGGCTGCTTGAAGGCTTTGGGCACAGGGGAGTGGTGGGTAAGAGGGGTTTGGTGCTGTATGGCTTGTGTGTGTGGATACGGTGAAAAGAGATTTAGGTTTGTGTGTGTGTGTGTGTGTGTGTGTGTGTGTGTGTGTGTGTGTGTGTGTGTGCATGTGTCTCTATGTGCTTCTCTGAGCAGTGACAGATCCTGCTCGGTGTGCCCGCCTTCACACGAGTTCTTCATATGGTAATCCCTTTATATCGGACACACAAACATCCACGCACATGCGGACAAGCGCACACTATTCACTTGTCATCCTGTCTTAATAGAGACCAAGACTTCTGCTGGCCGGGCACTCTCCTGCATCTGTTCCCTCTCTCAACACTGTCATGTTCTCCCACAGAAAGCCGGAAAACAATGGAGGAGACAAAAGACACTATGGATGATGGACAGCTATTCCCTGACATTTTGAGGATTGAGATAAAGGCAGACAGAGAGGTTGTGGGCTGCTGTTTGTTTTTAGCAGAAATCCATGACAGTCACGGTACAGAAACTACACAACAGCAGCCCCACAAAAATATGGTTTGTAAAGAATTTGTCTGGACAAAACTAATGTGAGCCACTAATTTAAAATGTATCAAGACAATGCATACAAATGCCCATTTCCATTATGTTCCTAAACACACCTCCTGAACAGTGTGGCTGATTCAGATAACACGTCCGTGAAGACAAAAGTATTGATGAGACTCTGCAACTTGCTGTTATTATTCTGTGTTGGCTAATGTTGTTGATATTTCATGCCAAAGTGTTACTGCAGTGTGAATTAGTCATTTACTGAACCTGTTGGGTCCAAACCAACATTATTATTTATGCCATAGAAGCATTTGCAACATTATTTATTTCCTGATTACTTTTTTTAAAAACACAATATCATCTCAAGTGAGCAGAAAATTGTCTTTCACTGAGAGGATGTCATCAAAATGTACAATTTCCTTTTCAGTCAGGCTAATTTGATACAGCATCATTTGCATATAAATATTTGAAAACAATCCCAGTGATTGAGGTGAATGTGAAATGTCTTTGTCAGAGAATTGGTTGAACGGACAAATTAATACTGACTCACTCTGGAGAGTAGAAATCCATCGAATGATTCCAGAAACCTCTCTGTCTGCCTGCCTGTCTGTCTGTCTGAGGAACACATATCTCAAGAACGGATTATCATATCGACTTCACACTTGCATGTGTATTGTTAAGGGAACGAGGAAGTGCAGTGTTGACTTTGGTGTTATTTGGACACATCTTAAGTTCAAGCTGGCAGCAGCAAGGATTCATCAACGCAAGTGATCTTGTCGATCATGACAACACGGCGTTCATGGCAACAACAACTGATTCTCTTGTTTGGGTTCTGTGGACTGAGTCAAGCTTCACTGGACTTGAAATAAACAGGTGAACAGCTCTTTGTGCAGCAGAGGTGGTGCAGCTTCAGGGTTCTGTGGAGTCAAGCACCAGGCCTTTACCTGTGGCTCAATTACTGCAGTTCACTTTTACAGTTTTAGAAACCAACAACCAGCATCCCCACAGGCCAAACAGTCCAAACAGGCAGGTTTAGAACAGCTACTGCACTAATGTCATCAAACCCTGGAAACTAACATTGAAGATACATGTGGTTAAACCGCCATTTTCTTTTGACAATTTGTGTGTACATTGTATTTCATTTTATGGCACTAAATAAAAGTTAGACAAGTCTACAATGATCATTGAGTGATATAATGTATAATTAATGGTAAAAAAATAAAAAGTGACGTCTTTAAGGGTGATGAAATCTGCAGTTTCACTCCCACAATCCACCACTTTAAAAACAGGGTGCAGTGAGAACAGCAGAGAGTGAGAGGGAAAGAGCGAGAGAAGAGATTCATCACCTGCACACACAAACACATCACAGTGGTGCTGACAGGTCAAGAGAAACAAAATCCAGCACCAAAAACACTGGATAACCACCAACAGGCTTCACAAACATCAAAATACACCAGACTAGACCTTCCTTATTTTTTTTGTCTCTTTCCAACCATCTTCCTGCTCCCTCCGTCCCCTCCTGCTCTGCAGTGGAACTGTATATTTATCTGAAAAGCTACAGCCTAAAACTTGTAATGAGGGTTTGTCAGTGTGAACCTGATATGTAATGCAAACTGGTAAATGCAGTCACTGTGGGGGACGCTGTCTGAGGCCAACAATGACTTTCAAGTCAGTGTTGAAGTGGTTCTAACTCTATAAAGAAGATTGACAACCTCATGGCACAGACTTTAGACCAGCAGCTCAAAACCTCAAAACTACTTATACTTTAATGATATCAATCAAGCAAAAGCCCATTAGCATGAATCTATAATCCGTGAAAAATGGTTCCACACAGATAAATCAGTTTTGGATTATTTACCTTTCAAAGGTGACAAATCAATAATTTTCTGCACAAATATTATACATTGAAGACTGACCTTGTGGAAGCTGCCATGGAAGATCTTTTTGATTTCTGATTCTTCAAAAGTAACAGTCTGGAAGTCTCCTTTATAATCGTAGTTGAAGAACGTCAAGGTCTTTCCAGAGTCTGAGGGAGGACAGAGGGTACAAAAAGTTCAGGTTCGCTTTAAGTAGATAAATCCCTGTTCGCACTATTCTCTCTGTTGGCGTGGTGCTGCTGTTTATTTGCCATTTTAGATAAATATAACTATAAATTTAAAAGATTCCATGTCATTTAATTGTGATATGAGCTTGAGATATGTGTTGTTTTAAATTGTTTCCACCAAGCACTGAATGCAACCATCAGGGGGCAGGAACATGAAGCCATCACCCCCATTATCATAATAATGTATATGTGTGAAAGAATTATAGAATGCCTATAGAGTTTTAATTTGTTTGTTACTAAGGCAAGTAAGGCCACTGGGGGACTTTCAATTAAAACAATAACTAAAGACCTTGTTTGATAACATAATGTAGCAGTGTGGGATCATGGGAGTTGAAAATCTACCTGATGTGATCCAGATTTACACAAATTACGTTCACAGATGAGGTTGTGTATTAAAGTTTTTTTCACATTACCCAGCAAACTCCATTTAATAATGTGATGATCCATTATGAGTGACCAATAGGGTAAAAATAGCTAGCTATAGCTAACTGGCCAGCACTGTGTTTTTCCTTTGTCATAGGCTACATCATTTGTCCCATCATTTGCTAAAGACAATATGACAAAATTAAAAATGATGGTGGTGGAACTAGAAATTTTTCCTCACTTTTAATTTCAGCCTGTGAAACATTTCTCTTCAGGTTTGGGATTCATCTGACGTGGATGTTTTGAGAACTCAGTAATGATAATAATTTAAAAAACAAAACAATTTCAACATAGGGAAGTATTCTTTTCCTCCCCATTTTGTGCTACTTCAGTTGTGTCAGGGTCACCAGGGAAAAGCACAATAACCAGAATACAACTTCCTCCTCCAGCTACTCCTGGGGCTCCCAAGATCATGAAGGACAGCTGGTAACATAATCTCCGCAGCAGGTCACGGGTCTGCTCGAGGTCTCCTCCAAAGTCAGTGGTGCCAAAAACACCTCTAAACATTCATGTCTGGGCTGAGTTTGCCTTGTGTGCAGTGTCTCTATGTTTTAGTCTGACATAAACACAGCCACTGCACCACAGGGAATCTTATGATAGCATCCATATTATCATCCCATCTGCTTTGGCTTAAAAAACTGGCTTCATGTCAAATCAAAGAAAGGCACTAAGGTATCTCTGCATCTTACTGCGGATATAATATAAGAAGAAAGCTTTTTTTAAGCCACATTAGAATGGATCAAATACCTAGTTAGAACAGACCGCCTGACCGAAATGATTCAACTGACAAAATGTTGTCTGGACCTAAAACACCTACAAAAGCATTACTGTTTGTGTTTTATTTGGAGAAACATTCCACTTGTGTGATAAAATTAACTGATCGAACTGTGTGCTGTGAAAGGGAGTTGGCATTTGGCCCGGATATCCGCTGTCTACACCAGAGGCCCCAAAATATTGCGTGTTGTCCCCAGAGGCAAATTTGTCATCAGATGATGACCTATGAGCTCAGAGACTGCCTCCAACTTTGATCTGTTAGGATTCAGTGAAACCATAAAAAGATAAAGAAGTAAAAACATAAGTGTTTCAAACTCACTGTCCAGGATTAGTCCCACTAATGGCTCGTGGTCTTTGTTGAGGATTTCCCACAATGCAAAGGGCTCTTCTGGGGTCTCTGGAAGTAGACGGATCATCATGGAAATCGTGTAGTCAGAGGGGAGACCCTCAGGGTGAAGATACCTGGTACACACATGAAAGCACAGAAGCACACACATAGACAGGCAGACACACACATACACAGACACAGACACAGACACACACACACACACACACACACACACACACACACACACACCATATTTAGCTGTGCCCTGCAGACATATCTCCTAGGTGTCTGTTTCAAAGTGCCATTGTCTCTTTCATCTGTAGTGAAGCTTTTAGACGTCAGACTCTTTGAGTCCTCGCCATTTTTGAGACTCGTCTTTTTTTTGTGCCGTTGCCTCCAAGTACTTCAAGTTTAAATCATCTTAGCTACAACTTTGCAGAGCACACAGTGTCATTTTTCAGCAAATGAACAAAAAGAAAACAGGAGGCTATAAAAAGGAAACTGATATAAAGCAGGGAAAAGCTCCACAATGACATCACAGAGGGAAATACATTACCCGAGCACAGTCGAAGGCAACTGAGCGCTGCTTTTAAGTTTTTATCCTTGAATATTTCTCTCTGGTATAGTGCCCTATAGCTTTACTATTACTTCTTAGAATGTTTTTCATTCATTATTTATTTCCACATTCTTTAAATGTTGTAATGTCTGTTATCTACTAGTGGTCATTGAATCAATCAGCAACTTGAAACCCAATTGAAAAGTAAATGGTCAAGTCTTCACCTTAAAACACCTTAAAATTTTCTCAACACCCGGGCATAGTGTGATCAGACTAAATGTTATAATACCTCCTGCAATTAAAAGTGTGGGGTCATTTTTAGAACCCAGTTTATTCATTTTTAGAATTATATAAATATTGGTTTTGGAAATGTTCTACTCCATCAATTTCACATATTACTGCATTAATATGCTTCCAGTCAGTGCTTTTCTAACATTTTCATTTTGTAGCAGCATTTTCTAAAAGTGTATTGGGTTTTAATACACTGAATACACTTCTTTGTCATTAGAGTCTGGCTGCCACCATCTTACTTAAAAATAGTGAAAAATAATGAAGCCAAGTCAAAAGATGTAAATTCAACAATCTTCAGTACCGCTATATGTGTTTTTGGGCACTGGACAGGCAGTGTTTTTAAAAAGATAACGTTGTTTTCTTTGGCAGGACTATTGAATAGTTCTGTGTCCGCTGCTGGCTGACGATTCAAAGTGCTGTGATGTGTGTGTCCTACTGACCACCGACAGTGACCACTCCCCATGTCCAATATATAATAGTTATTATGATCAATCTTACAGAATCATATAAGTAATTATAAACAAAATTATTCGGAATAACGAGAGAACATTTTATTTAATGTGTACTTTTTTATTTGGTCCATGTCCCATCCACTAACACAGAGGAGGCAGGATATATAACCTATACTGCAGCCGGCCACCAGGTGGCGATCAAGATGCCTTGCTTCACTTGCGTGGAGCCGTCATGTCGTCCATCTTTATATGAAGTCTATTATCTAATACATAAACCCTGCAATTAATCCTACAAAATAAATGTCCAGATTTGATGGAATTTTTTTATTATAAGACAAGAGTAGTGTGTGTTTTCACTTGCTGTGGACCTGGAGTTACTCACTTGGTGGGCTGGGACACCAGAGCATCACGGTGTAACCTGTAACAGGGGAAGCTGTTAAATGAACCCGGCTCCAGAGAAACTCCAGGTAGTATGCTGTACTCTTTCTCCACCAGGCCAAACTTCTCCATCATACGGAAACCTGCAGGGGTCGTCGTCGTCATCATCATCATCATCATCATCATCATCATCATCATCATCATCATCATGTCATTTGATCCAGTGCATGGGCCTGTGAGAGGGTTATTCTGTCCATTTTTCCTATAAATAGTTCCTCTTACCTGCCATTGTGTTTCCACTCATCAAAACAGACGGACAAGCTGAAAGAGAGAGAAGCATTGTTAGTTTTTAATCTGTAATACTTAAAATGTTCAACCCTCAAATAAACCCCTCTCTCTATCCCTTTTCCTCCTCATTCATCTTCCATGTTTCTCCGGTCTTTTCTCAACCTTCCCTCTGTGACTCTTTCACTCTGTCTGCATTTCTATGAGAGTTGACTGAAATCTTTTTCCCTCCTGAACTCTCACTGCCTCTCTCTGTTTTAAACATGCCTAGTGTTACTCACTGGCAGTGGCAGCCTCGCAGACAAAGGTAATGAGCTGTTCCTCTATTTTCTTCACAGCATCCAAGTCGTCAACGAAAAAGACGTGTCTGTCGCTGGGCTTGCTGGCAATGTTCACCAGCTCTCCGTAGTCCGCATCCGCAAAGCCAATGGCAAAGATGATATAGCCTGAGAATGGAATTTAAAATGATCATTCATTACATTATTAAACTCAATACAAAGGATTGAAAGTTTGAAAAGATGGAATACGTCGGTGGTTGTGGATTTTCACATGAATGAGTCTGACAGCTCGTAACTGTAAAATGTGACATAAAGTTTATCCAGCATCCAAGAACCTTCTGTCTCCCATCTTGCTTGTATTCTACAATATAATGTAGGTAACATTACATAACAATGTCAACAAGTCCCACAGCCCTTCTGTGCATGATTGTTCAGTAAAATACTCACCCTCCATCTGCATCTCCTTGGACACTTTGTTGACATCGTCTTGCGATCGCCCATCAGTGAGGACAACCAGGACTTTAGGAACACCCCGTCTGGCTCCACTCTCTGATGTGAAGATGGACTCTTTCACATGTTTGATGGCTCGACCTGAAGGAGGACAAAGAGAAAACATCTGATTTAGAAACAACCAAACTAAAGGGTGCTAATTTAGCAGTACATCCATTGATTTTAACAGAGTGTGGATGGGTTTCTCGTTAACCTCACAACTTTTTCACTTCCTTTTTAATTATTATTACTATAAGACTCATAAAGATGGACAACATGAACTACAGTGAAGTAAAAGCATCTTGATCACTACCTGGTGGCTGGCTGCAATATAGCTCATCAATCATGTCTCCTCCATGTTAGTAGATGGGACATGGATGATCTTAAAAGTGCATGTCAAATTTTTTCCCAAATGTTGCTTTTGTCATGGTAGGTCATTATTATCATACTGATATATGTTCAAATTGCATTTTTCCTATAAGTTTGGGTTTAATTTGTTATTTGATGCTATAAAAACAGAAGAGATGGGAGGAGGATTGGTCAAGTGCATGTATTGGCGGGACGTTGCTACCATGGCTTCAACCCCCGATCATCACTGCTCAGACTCTGACCCCACATGGCTGCCTCGTATGCAGGATATTTTGGCTCCTTTGGACAGTTGGAGGACGTGAAGATGCCTCATCCATCTTTATATACAGTATATGTTCAGATTACACAAAGTTAGAATGGCATCTTTTCCTGCAGTGTACTCAAGTTACACTTGTATTGACTGATTGACATCATCATCTGTTTCCAATAAAATTCACAATCATTGGCTCACAGCTTTGCGGCAAGTAACTTCCAGATGTATTATCGCAGGTCTATAAAACCTGACATTTACGCAATGTCGTTTTCTGATGCAGCTCCCATGATGAAACCAAGATTAAATCTTCATGTATTTAGGGAGGGTTTGCTCACTCAGCAGAATACAGTGAGAGAGCTCTAAAAGAATTGAATAAACTCAAACAGTAGAGGATTTTCCAAAGAATTGAAATATACAACGATTTGCTGTATTTGGTCAATTTTTGGATGTTGAGTGTCTTTGATGGACCAATTCAATCTCAACAAGATGTTTATTATCATTATCTATCATTTCCAAAGGTTACTTTCATGCTGTAGTGAAATGAATGTTAACCATTCGCTGCCTTAAAGGAAAAGCTATCTAAAGGAATCTTAAAGGGAACCACACAGCATGCACATGAAAATGTCCAGTAATAATGTAGCATATATATACATGGTACATAAACATAAAAAAAAAGCAAAATCACTAGTATGGTCCTTTAATATATGTGGTGCTTAGACCCTCTCCACACTACTTGTATTGTAGTACCAACATGCAGTATCAATCATATTCGCAAATTACAATTTGTCTAATAGGGCTTACAGTGCAACATCCTCTGTCCAAAGTAAGAACAGTATGAAGCAACATTTCTTTCATATATTTTGCAACAGAGCAATGTTCAATCCATGTGCATGCATTTTTCCCAAGAGTGGCTGGAGCCTAGATGCCTACAAACTTATTGGAAGCAGGAATGAGCTCATTAACAATCTAAGATACGTCCTTTTCCCCACTGGTTACATGAAGGTGAATGTTTGAGACCTTTGCTACAATTTTAATGTACTCACTAATTAAAACATGTATTATTTATTCTTAAACTGACATGAATAAAATATATTATTGAGTCTATAATTACTACATGACAGTGAGGGACCTATAAACCCCTGGAAACATGATTTTGGTCAAGTTTTCATTAGCATATAGAATAAGAAAACAGGTCTTATGTATTTTTAATGAGATCTAAACATGGATAAAAAATGAGATTGAAATTCCCAAATCTAGTCTGTAAAAAAAAAAAAAAGCTATCGTGAAATTAGACGAACTTTAAAAAATGTGGAGGTTAGCTGCTAATGGACTTAATCAGTCAATAAAATCTGTCCTGACAGCTTTAAAAGGTTTCAAGACCCACCCAAAACAAGCCACCACGATGGTGTCAAAGCACATTTGTCAGAGGATTTAATGATGCCTTGTGTGTATCACTGTGTTTCAAGCACTTAACTAACATAAAATTCAAAACAGTAAGTAAATACTGTGAAATGAACTCCAGAAAAGCACTATACTCATGCTTTTCCTTTGATGAGAGAGCTCTGTTGCTGCTAAGTAAAGTGAACCTCTGAACAAATGAAGGATGGTTATTATTGTACACATAGACCAAACACCTCCACTTCCACCCACTATCCAGAAAAATTAAGCAAAAATATCCTGCATGAGAACACTGCCATCTTGAGAATTTGGAGCCAAAGTCTGCACGGCAGCGATTTCCAATTTGTTGAAAAAGGCAGAGTGTATGACCTATACTGCAGCCAGCCACCAGGGCGCGATTGAGATGCGTTGGCTTCACTTTTGGGGAGATGTCATGTCATCAAAATTATTTAGAGTGTGTCCTTCATGACTCGATACCACACGTGTGTCAACATGATTATTTTTTGAATGCTAGCCAATAAGCTGTCACACACAAATAGGTCTATTTAATGTCAATATTTGCATACTGTCCATCGTGATTGCATCGTGCATCAATAGTTCCTACAGCTCATCTACTCATCTCTCCCTGACCTTTTCAAAATTACACAGATAATCACTGCCTTTAATCCTAAACTTCTTCTGTCCTTTTATCACTTTCTCTTCTCACTTTTCTTGTGTTTTGAAGTACTGTATTGAGAGAGGAGTATCATGGAGTTTTTTATTGTTCACTGATCGTCCTTATTTTTCAGAGGTCAGGTTCACTACGCTTATCAGCAGCAACAGAGCTTGCTGGAGGCTATAACAGTATAATTGAGCATAATGCTTTTCTGCCGTCTGTATCTCCATGTTTTGAATATCATATAGACTCATAAGTAGGCAAACCATTCATTGCAGAGGCCAGAAAGAGCTCTATGTGTATGGTGTCCCAATTTTCAACTTCTAACCAGATAAAACCCTGAGACAACATCTTCACCTCCTCCTCCTCCAGTTTTTTTTTCTTCCCTGAGCTGTCAGTGGTGAAAAATGATAGAGTGCTTGGCTTGTAAAGTGTTGTGTTGTCACATATCTGCCAGTGATACATCTGTTTCTACACTGTCCTCTGATCACGCTGGGCGAGACTGGAATTACAGCAGCTAGCCAGGCATGAAGTGAGACCGAGGACAGAAGGAAAACAGGAGAAGAGGAGGAAAAGGAGGAAGAGGAGAGACTCAGTGGGTGGTGGAGGAAGGAGGAGTAGAGCAGGTAAAAGGTGCAGCTTCAGGGTTCTGTGACTGAGTTCAGCAGCAGGTCTTTACTTCAATCACTGCAGGTCACTTGCACCCAGCATCCACAGACCAAGCAAACAGCCCATTCAAAACAGGAAGGTTTACAACAGGCATTGCACTCAAAAAAAAAAAAGAAAAGCAAATACGTCAGTGGATGATGTGTTGAAAAGCCTGTCATTGATCAATGATACATCACTTTGCTTGTGGGAAATAATCTGTGTCTGTTTGGCTTTAGCCTCCTATCTGGCAACAGTTTTCTTGCTGTCACAATATTAGAAACACATTGAGAATGTGGAAAATAGTAAATGAATAAATAGGAAAAGAAAAAGAAGCTGAAATCATCTCGTCCAAAGCCTTAGTACAATTTAATGAATGAGGAGACTTTACTCTGCTCAGTTAAAATCAGTAAGATGAGAAAAAGACTGTAATATTCTCTCTGCTTGATTATAAGAGCTAAACAATCTTTTATTATATGAAAAGTCACTGTTGGAGAATGGTTTTGATTGCAGAAAATGTACAATTGACTTTGAAAGGGTTCTTTTTATAGTCAGAGTAACACATTCATAGTCATTCATACAGTTGTTCCTGAACTCATTAAAGTCTCATAAACCTTGAGAATTTAGTGGAGGGCTCATTTTAAGTGCATATAATCAAAGTAGGAAGAAGTTCATGGTGCTAAAGAAGAAATCATTGAAGGGAAACCACATCCTGACTAATCTATTCAATATTTATCTGAACTGTTAAGGATTAGAAGTAACACTAGTTTACATACGTCAGCTTGTCCCACTCACACGCACCCAGGCGAACACACTCTACAGTCTGTTTATCTACAGGGATAAAGACTCACACAGGAGCAGCTACATGAAATCAATCATTCACCAAGCCACTCCAAGTCTCACTAAAGCCTTAATGAATAAATGCATAGTGAAAAGCTAAATCCCAGATATATGAGCTTCAGAACCCTTCATCCTCAACATGCCCTTCTTCACACTCATGGGTGAGGATACTGAACTGAGTCTTATTATTCAGTCCTGGAATTAACAACCGCCTTAAGCATAGGAGCACCATGTACAGGTCTGAATGTACCCAAATGATTGCGTCCTAAGATCAGATCACTCAAACCACATTCGGAGGTGGATCTGGGACACATGTGAACTCAAATAAGTCGTGGACCACATAAGAAGGACCATCTACTTAGCTGACGTCTTCTGACTCGCTACAGTTTCACATTGGATAAAATGTATTTTTATGCTTTTCAGTGATCATATGTTGATCTGAGGTCATGAGTACAATGATGAGGCATGTGACTGAAAGTTTGCTCAAAAAGAAGCTCTCTTCTCATGCAGTAACAAACTCTGCAGTGTCACTGAGTGAGAAACTCCTGTTGCTAGAGGAGCAGCTCTGTGGCTAACTGTCTGAGATGGTGAGGTTACTATTTTCTGGTTTACCCTGTGATGCCATCCAAAAAAGAAAAATCCTCCTTGTTACTGATGAAGTTTTGTAACTTTTCTGTGAATTCATGTGTACTTTAAAAAAAATCCATATTCAATGTGTTTGCTTGACCTGTGGATTATTGGACAAAGGCAGTAAATCATAAGCTAACTGCTTACACTAAAAACAATAAAATAACACAGTGGTTGTGGTGTCTTGTTGGCTTCTACACAGATTCATCTGCCAGAGGCCAGGGGTTAAAGAGGCAGACAGCTAGCTTCTTATTTGAGAGCTTTAATGGATTTAGACATAGTGAGGGACCCTGATGGGGTCTCAGAGGGGAAATTGAGGTTTAAGAATATAATGAAAGGGAATCGTTCAGGTTTAAAGACTTTCCTAAAACATAAGCCTCTGTCCTAAGTGCCAGAGAAAGTAGTAGTTTACCACTGAATGGACCAGAGGACTAGAATGTAAGTAAGGAGGTTTGGGCACAGTCTCTAGAAGTTTACAGCTTTGTTTAAACACTGTTGTATTATGTTTGAGTGGAATGTTAGTGACTATCACAGAGTTTATTTGAAAAAAATCCTTATTAAACTAATCAGGAAAATAATCCCCACTTAACAAGTGACAGTAACAAGACGTATTATTTATCTAATAAGCACATATGATTATTTTGTTTAATAAATTGTGCAGAAACTATCATATCTATTAAAAATGAAGATAGAGTTTTAAAGGACTGTCACCAAAGTGATGGAGGAGAGGAAAGTAGGAAGTTGGCAAGACAGTGGAGGAGAGGACAGTGGAGAAAGAGGAGGAAGAAGAGGGAGGAAGAGTTAAGTGGAAAGATTATAGTGTGATCAGCAGTCGAGATGATAGAGAACACAATTACTCTGAGCCGACACTGAGCCATGACCTGGACTTATGGAGATTTTAAGTGCTCAGAATGAGCAGCAGTACCTGTAAATCCACTTTCACATGAACTTTACAAAAGATTCACAAGCTCAAGTATTTTTCCCTTTGCAATATTTTTCAGCTTCTTCCAAAGTTGGTTCTGTTGTGTCAAGTTTTAAAGTTCATTTCTGACCTTGACAACAGCGGTTACCAAACCAGGACCAGACCAGATCTCCCCATCTCAGGAGTTGTTAGACTACGTATGTCACACAATCCTACTCAGCAAAGTCTGTCCAGTTGTCTTGAACTGTTTCCCAATTCAAGGACTGCCTCTTTTTTAATCATCAACCGAGCAGCTAATGGTACACTTGTTAAAGAACCAAGAGGCTTTGTTGTAGTGTTCAGGTGCAGCTCTGTTGCTAGGCGATAGCAACAAGGGTGGGAGAAGCTAGTGACGCAGATCATGGAAGTTCTCCGTAGACCAGACCACTTCATCTAAGTTCGGCCTTCGTGGTCTACGCGGCCCACCAAGGTCACAAAGGCCACAAAGCTCCAACTACTAATGGACCTTGTGTTCAGACTGATTGTTCGGTAAACTCCTAATTTCAAGGTCAGGAATTAACTTTTCATATGCATGTGAAAGAAGTGCTCTAAAAAATGTAAATGTTAACATCAAGATGTTCTATGACAAATGGAAAAACTGAGAAGGATTGTGTAAAATGATTAAATCCCAAGGGATACTGTATTTAGACTGAGGTATCAAGCTGACTCTGGTTGGACTGCATGAATTCTTATGACTCTCCTCTGACCTGTCTTGGTGTTTCCTCCTTTGTATCTGATCCTCTGAATAGCTTCCAGCAGTGCTTCCTTGTTGCTATGGGAACTCAGCTGGAATTCCGTCCGGGCATCGTCACTGAACTGAACAATTGCCACCTGGAGAGAGGCGGAGACGACAGACAGACAGATGAGTTAAGTAAGTTCAACGCACACATCAAATCAAATTATACAAATTTAAACTCACTTTCTTTTTACATTCTAAAGGGACAGTTTACCCCAAAATTCACATTCAGTCATTATTTTGGCACACCACTGCAATGTGTTTCTACACAAGTGCTCAGCTTGGTTTTTTCCTCTTCTTCTGCGACAAAAAGCAAGAAGCCAAATCACTCCAAGCAGCTCATGCAGCATTAACTGTTAATTTTGAGCCAAATTACTCGGCTCTGGGTCCAAAATTTCATAGTTTTCTTCATTATCACCTGTAATTTCTGCATTTATATATACAGCAACAGAATCAAACAGATGCTGTCTTTGTTCGCTGAAGTAAATGCTGTAATTATAGAAAATTGAGTGAGTGTTCCTTAAACGCCCCACAAAGGTAATACTGTACAGATGGGAAAGTTGAAACTGTACATGAGAAGCCAAAACGCGACATTTTCAGAGTTTTCACTAAAATGTATTGAGTGTATTTCCAGGATGTTAAAGGTTTAATAGGTGAGACGAGTAATGGGTCACAGATTTGACCATTTCTCACCTGGTCAGCGCTGGTGGTCTCAATAATTTACTGGGCAGAAGAAGTTGCTTAAGATGTCAAATGGAAATATTACACCTTTATTTCAAGTCTCTAGATTAAAATGAACAAAGATGTAATTGGAAAAGCTGTAAAAATCTTCTATCTTTCCAACAAATGTAATATATTGATATAATTTCAATGTATTATAATTTTATATCTGTTTACTTTACCAGCATCAGTGTTGTTAATGTGAAACTTTGTTTATAGCCCCTGGCGTTTATGTTGATTTGCTAATTTGTTGATTAATTCATTCATATATTTTTTAGAAATGCACAAAGATGTACATATATGTGTTCAACACTCCCAAATTTGTTCAAACTCCCAAATCGGAGCTAGAATCAATCTAATTGCTTTCCTATAAGAGGGAAGAACAACTGTCATTACCTCCAGACTGCTAATGGAGCTGTTCTTGGCTCAGGGCAACCGACGTTTACCAGCCAACTCTCTCACATTACGGTTGGTGTTTAGCTCTCGGTAGCCTACTGCCAGAGGGTTATGGGGCATAGTGAGGGTAGCAAACTGCTTAACAGCACACATTCAACAAAGGAAAGAAAAGGGGGGTTTAGCAAGCACCTCTACAGCGTGACAAATGAACCTGCTGAGCTTTGCTGATATATAGTGGTGGGCCATGCAGGCAGGAAGCACAATGAAGAAATTAGTCCACATTGACAACAGCGAGGTATTGCCCCGAGTAAAAGCCTAGCATTACCTATTGATGAGGCCAGATACATGAGAGCCCTTCTGAAGCAGTGAAGATGGTTATAGTTACTGCAGTAATGTGATTGCTCACGTTTCTAAGAATCAAAATAATCAAGAATAAAGTGGTTTTTTTAGTAGTTGAACAATTTGATGTTTATCCCAGCTTTTACTGCATCCAGACTTAATTTATTACGACTATTCCTGCCAGAGAATAATGTTTTCTGGCACTGGCAGCAAATGAGTTGAGTTAATCGAATACTGCTCAGCAACAAAAGGTCCATCCAGAGAGTAAAGATTCACTCACTGGGGGTTTAAAGTTCCCTCTTACTTCTCTAAACTATTCAGATATAAGGCTGCGCTCGTGCTGATTTCTCTGGGGATGGATCAAGAAAACGGCGAAATTCTGCACCAAAGTATTTGTCCATATCAGTTAACACAGCAGCAGCCTTCCTCTGTTAGTAAATGAGCCAAAAGCACAGGGGTGGAAAGGAAGATGAGTGCGCTCAAGGTCCATTACTTCATCAAATGTGCAACACTTCTTTCTATTTCCATCTCAAATGTAATAGTGAGAGTGAATCTGAGAAAAGGAGGAGAGGAATAACTAGCAGATTAAGGAAAGAAACTTGAGGTGTTGAGAGTACAGCAACCAGTGTCCTTTATTCCATTTATCTGCTGAATGAAAGTAGTTTCAGGGACATTTGAGATGAAATTGAAACATTTTTTTTCTTTCTCTTCGTCTTTTAGGAATGGGTTACAGCATATGAGGCTGTGTGGATGAGAGGAGGTAGCATTGTTGTTGGAAGTACTGTACCTAGGGCTTATTGAATGTGCATGGCAGCAAGTGAGAAAAACATGTTTGTAATCTTTGTTTTCTGGGGGGAATATTGTGGTAGAAAGATATGTGAAAACGAAAATATAGATGTTTTTACAACACTGAAAGGCTTCTTTAGCCACTAAGATATATAATTTCTTTACTTTTTCAACATAATTATGGTTTTCGACCCTCAGCATCTGCTTTACATTGTATTTTCCATGGACATTAATTTCTCACAACGAAAATGCTGCAACAAGGAGAATAAATTAGACAGTGAAAAATAATTAAAAGCTGTCCATGTTCACATTTGTATTTCTGTTGGTTGCTACTGTGTGTACAGTAATTTTCACTAGACATAGACATTTAGACTAGACACAAGAACCACTAGCAGCCATAAATGTGAATAGCAGCTCTCCAGGGAGACTCAGTGAAACATTAGTCTGAGTGAGTTGGTTGAGATGGCATTCTAACAATTTCAGTTGCAAAATCTGTCCCCATGTAAAAATGCATGTGGGGAAAGGCGAGGTAAGAATGAGTAAAGCCTAAAATTTGAGCTTTTAATCTTGAGTTCTTCCTCACTGACGTAAAGGTGTGGTCACATGACTGACCTGGGTGCCATCTGGTCCGACCAGATCCAGCGATCCCATGGTGCTGTAGAGAAAGCGTGTGATCTTCAGGAAGTTGTCATCTCCGATGGACCAGGAGCCGTCGACAAGGAACGCCAGGTCAGCCTTGGCCTCTTTGCACACTGGACAGACACACAGATGAACGAAGGACCGATATATATATTGATTTAACCAGCACATCATTTTCTTATTTAAAAAGTAATTTCATTCAGAAAGAAGGTCAGAGGAGGACAGAGCATAAGCTGAATGCGTAACTACCTGTCTAATATATTCAGTAAATATGCAAAGTATGAAGCACTGCAAATATACATCCACTGTAACAGGGTAAATATGCAAAGAGTGGATCTTCAGTTTAATCTACAAAGTTTATAAGATTAAATGTATAGTGCACACTCTCTTACTCAGAGTTTTAAACTGACCAAGACACCGTCCTATATCTTCCTTCTTTTGTAAGCTGCTCATTCATATTCATTCTCCAGCAGTGACTTCTGCTTCTGCTTTCATTCTTCTCATGTTTCGAAATGACTCCCAGTGGTGTTATCTTTGCTGCTGTAAAGTTGTTACAGGGTTTTAACAAGTTTTCAAATTCCAAGTCTGCACTAAATTCCAAAAACCCATTAATGATCATGTCAGCCGCCATAAATTCCAGGGAAAAAATAAAAAATCTAAAGGAGAGGAGACGAGCATATATAATGAAACTTTTTTTTTACCTCCTCACAATTGTATGCCTCAAGTAGCAGTTTACAACCATCTCATGACTTCTTTATTTTATCGAATTAGAACTTTGTGAAAAATGAATTTGACCTTTAATCAAACATTTCTGTGAGATGCGACACAAATCTTTCCAGCTGTTCTTGATATATCTTGTTGATGAGAGTGGGATGAACGTGAGGTCATACTGACCATGATCTTTGACCTCTTACCAACGAAATGTCCAAAAATATCTTCTGTTTTCTGACAAAACACCTGATCTTGGTTTAAAATATCTATTTAAATTGGCTACAGCATTTTTGACTGTTATTTGGTTTATGTTTATACACTCATAGCTCTTGGTTAAGGTGAGGAAAATGTTGTGGTCTTTTATAAAACAGAAAAACTGTAATTTCAGACAAAACTTGTCTGTTTACATTTAACCAACACCATGATGTTTCCCTAACCCCTAACCAAAGTACTTATGTTACCCATACCTAACCGCAGAAAGGACTTTCTGCCACCTCACTTCTGCTTTTGGGCTATAGCTCTTTTTCTTTGATTATTCATCCCATCACTTTGTTTAACCATCCTCCTTCTCCTCTTCTGCTTCTTCTTACAAACACACACCTTGCTTCTCTTTTCTCTGTCTGTGCGGTTCTGTCCCAGGTAAAGGTTGCGTGTCATCACGGACAGAAGCACTGGTCTGACAAAGGTCAGATAGAAATGCTTACAGACGGACTCAGCAGGAGTGTCGCTTCATGTCTGAGGAGTTGGTCCTGCAGATTAGCCTTTAATGTGAGCCCATCAGACAGGAACACAGGAGGAGCATAGTCTGGGTACGGGGTGTCAGGTCTGACCACAAACTTGTACAACTTTATTTCTGTATCTTTCTAAGGTTCTCCATCCTCCTCAGTTTTGTAAAGCCTAACTTGTTCCGAGCACGCACGCGCACACACACACACACACACACACACACAAACACACATACACACACACACACACACACACACACACACACACACACACACACACACACACACAGGGCTTAAACAGAGACTGTACTGATGCTAATACACCAGGATTAGAGTAGGGTTTCTTTACTTTGGAATAGATAGGCTACAGTTCACATCAGAAGTTGCTGAGGAATAAAGTAAATGTCCCATTAGCTCCCTGTGAAACACATTCTCTTTACGTTAAAGATACCCCTAATTTTATTATAGTGACCCCTGAGTCCTCAAATTTCCCTCCAGGTCACTAGCAGTGTTTTTAGAGTAAACACAGTTCACAGTTGTGTAAAGAGCACAGATTGACACAACACAGCTGCTCCATTAAAAATAAATCGTTCAATTACCTTTTCTTCTCCTGTTTCAAAATCAGACCATAGCTACATTGCTTGTGCTGGCGAGTGTGGAGTTGTTCATTAGTTTAAATTTAAGGTAAAAATCACAGCCCTGCTTACTTTGGTTACATTTTCCTATGTTGCATTATTTTAATCACATTTTATTGCTCCCAATCCTGACAACAGATCCTCTTGATCTGCCCAGAAGAAACGTCATCCAATATTAGACACAATTTTAGTGCATCAAAGCCAGTAAATGGACTATTAGAGTAAGCTATATAGTGTTTTCATCATGTTACTATTTTCTATCTAAAATCCATTTCAGGACTGTCAAACTATGGTGACTACAGCTGTTAGACATATATTAACAAATAGTATAAGAATTGTATGTGTTATTGTATGTGTTTGTGTTTAGCTCACCTTCTTTAGCAGGCGGGATGGTGGGAGGGGGCTCTGTAGTCGGTGGATCAGTCGGAGCCTGAGTGGGCGCTGGCACTGGATCCACAGACACGAAAATGGACACAGATGAAAATGTATACACATACACAGACAGGAAAACAAGACAAGGTCCTCAATCATAATAGCAGTGACAAATGGCACCATCATTGGGTTTGTCTACTGACCACACAGCTACATGCACAAGTTGGCTGTTTCTATTAACCTGAAAGTTTGACAGCTGACTTAACAACCTAAAGTTCCATTGGCAATCCAGTTGTTGTGTTTGTCCTCTTTATCTCCGGCAGACAAACGTTTCCTTTACTTTTCTGTCATATGCTGTCTCTCTTCCCATTCTCATATAAGTCGGGCACAGCAAAAGAGCAATTTTCATCAGTCTTAGTATCAGTCTGACCAGAGGCTGTTTTTTCGGACTCAAAAACAGCCACAGGTTAGAGCACGCCTCAGTGCCAAGCCAATTACTTTACAGAAAGGCAGTGGGTTCAGTCAAACCAAAGTTCAGCGAGTAAATCTTCTCGGAAACATTGGCAACTTCCCACATATGAGGCACATACTTCATGACAGTAAATAAAATGATCTCAATAAATGATTCTCTTTCTTCCTCTTCTTAAGATAATTTGTACATAATGTGTTGTGCATCTTTACTTGGCGAAAAATTTCACAGACCAATAAACACTGGGGACTTTCTTGAGTTTTGAAGTGGTTCTGAAAAGTAACAGACATGATATCCATTTATTATTAAGTATATTTAAGTTAAAGGGAATTTTGAGATAGTTTTACCTTAATTAACATTTTCATTTTGCTTTCACTCCACTCGACTTTAATGTATTGTACTTTTTACTCCTCTGCATTTGTGTGACAGCGGTGTCGTCACTATGCAGATTTACATATAAGAATGAGATCATCTTATAAAACATGATGTATTGCTGTAAAATAAACTACCCAGCACTACATTAAGTAGTTAAATGATCTCCATCTCCACTAGTGACAACATTAAATCTCTGCCTACACGTCAGTGCATTTAAAAATAGGCCCTGTAAGACTTTCATAATAATTTAGCACTCTAAAAGGAGCCATTCTGCATAACGAGCACTTTTATTTTGGATTCTTGGGCACAATTTCCTTATAACACTTAAGTGCAGGATTACGGTACTTGTAATGGAGTGTGTTTATATGGTGGTTTTTATTACTTTTACTCAAGTAAATTATCTTAGGACTTCCACAGGCAATGGGTGTGGACATGCCACCTTTGCTTGAACCAAACCTTTGCCTTTAATCTACAGTTGTCCACTCAAAATCTGTGGAGCAACAGCATTATGGGTGTGTGTGTGTGTGTGTGTGTGTGTGTGAGAGTGTGTGTGTGTGTGTGTGTGTGTGAGTATGTGTGAGAGACCATGTCTATCCATCTATAACCATCATAGTGAACTGAGCCCCCCCGGTCCCGAGAGCTGTGTGATTCACCTCAGCTCATCAGTTGACCAATGAACTGCAACAACAGAATCTATCTTCACTGTGAGAAAGAGCGAGAGAGAGAGACCTCAGGAGGTTGGAGGTACAGGAGAAAGTGGCAGAGGTGAGACAGATGCATGGTTGAAGGGGACAGATGGACCGGACAGGTGGAGAACGAGACATAAAGAAGGACTGGGAGGATCATTTGGGAAAATTAGTTAGGAGGAGAAAATGGTGAGAAACTGAAGAGAGGGGTGAGGGAGTGATGGTGAACAAGGTCGAGTCAACCTCCTAAAAATGTTGAGGAAATATTTAAAGTTACAGTGTGTAGAATTTTGTGATATCTAGTGTTGAAATTGCATGTTGCAGCTGAACACCCCTCATCTCACCCTCCCCTTCCAAACATGAAAAACAAACTCTGTTCATAAAAACTCAAAAGGTGTTTAGTTTGTCCAGTCTGGACTATTGTAAAAAACATGGCGGCCTCCATAGAGAGAGGCCCTCGGTGTAAATATGAAGTATTTAAATATAAAGGGCCTTTTCTGGGGTAACTGGGTATCTGGGGAAAACTACAATTCATACAGTTTAGATGAAACAAACTAGTGTAAAAACATCATGAGAATTATTCTATATTAAATTTCTGCCAATAGATCCCTGTCACCTAAATCTTACACACTGGACCTTTAAATAAATGGGAGGAAACTAAAAACTCAATAAAGTCGCTCTTAAAATCCTCTTTTCTGAAAACAAAGTGTGAAGATGAGAACAAAATCACACATGCGTATACAATATATCAAACATACATGTCATGTCAGTGATGGAGACTGACGGTCCCTCCATTTCTTGAATCTGCGTGTGAATGCTGATCTGGTATTGGCTGCTGGGAGTGAGGTCATAGAAGCATTGTCGGGAAGCACTACCCCCCAGGCTCACTTCCTGTTTTTGGCCATCTGCAAGTAAACAACAAAACAAAAAACAACATGACTTCAAGTTCAGATCAACGGTCAAAAAATCGTAACAAGATCATTGTAAAACTCCTCACTGATCACAGAGCACATTTCTTGTTCTGCATCATATGGTCTGTATTTTGGTCTATAATTTAAAATGCGCACTTCTAGTCTTGATGACCACTCAAAGTGCATACAGTTTATTTTTTGCTGTTCACACATTCATGCAGTGCTTCTATGTGCTGCACTTTTTTCCCTGTTATCAAATGAAGGCCTGAGAGCTGCTGAGGATAATGACTTCCTTTCAGAGCTGGATTCTAAGCAGCATTATTGGAGTCGTCAGGTGTCGTGTTCGAGGGCAAACTGAAGGTTAGTCGCTGAAAGACAGAGGCCGTCGTCATTCATGACAATGCATAGACATGCTCACATCATTTGGAGATTCAAGCCAGTCTTGAAAATCTTGCCTCAAACTGTAGGCGAGTCTGTTCCCATGGTGAGACTTCACATGTTGTTGACTTTATTTATCCTCAAGAATGTCACACAATTGATCCTGATTTATTAAACTCATCTGAACTCGAATTACTGCTGCACTATAGGTAAACATACTATGTAAACAAACCGCAGTTTGTGCTGCTTTATCCATTCATTGCACCAACTAGAAAGATATCTGGACAATCCTGTGGTTTAAAAGAAACCAGGGAAACATCATTATATCCACTGAAAAAAATGAACTGAATCATATCATTGATTTCTTTCCTCTTCTCATGTCGATTTCCTTTGGATCTCAGACTGAAAACACTTTCAATTAAGTGTTTGTATTGAAAAGCTCTGGAGCGACGGCATCACAGAGAAAAAAGAAGGATTTATGTTGGCAGCCAAAAAGAGACAAACAGGAAACTGAAAGCACACAAGCAGACACACACACACACACAGACACACACAGACAGACACACACACACACACACACACACACACACACACAGTAATAGCCATCATTTGTCATATTCATTAGTCTAATTCCATTTGCTAATGTGTGTTTCATCCTATGGAGTGACAAATTAGCCCCTCCTCCACACAGGAAGCAGCCGTGGATACATTTTAAGGAAACAGCTGTATCTGAGGATCTGCCACTCTTCCATCAGAGAAGATGTTTGAGCAGCTGATTGGCTTTGCATGGGATAAAACCCCAGCAAGACTATCTGGCTATCACTCAGGCAGCGAGGAGAGACAAAGATACAGCAAGAAATAAAACATGGGATGGAAGAAAGCAAGAAATCGTCTTTTTTTCTGTCAGAAAAAGCTGAAGAACCTGTACACGCATCACTAACTGTTCATGTTTCCATCAAGTCTACAATCTCTACCACTCTATAGCTTCCAATTAATTCTATTAAACTCTACTCAAGGAACATCAATTGGAAATCTATATATGGTCAATTTCCAGTGTTCTGTTTTCCTCAACTTGTTATTCACAAATATTTCTGTGCCTTTTACTGTAAGTGTACATTTTTTACTTGTGTGGGAGAGTAAAACTAAGATGGAAACTTTTCACTTATGAGAATAAGGCTTAAAAGATTGAGATCTTAGGAGTAAAACTTAAAAAACAAGACCAACAGTCCAGGCCTTCAGGCGGTAATTACCTCGTCCAAGGATGTAATGTTTCACCCCTCTCCATTTTGTTTGTGATTCAGCAGAATTAGGCAAAAACTACAGAACCAATTTTAGGAAAAGTTGGTGGAAAGATGGACCAAGAAAGAACCCATTCAATTCTGGCTTGAATTTTTCTCACTTTTTTGTGTGAGACAGCGTTTTTAACATTTTTACCAGTATCCCACAGAATAGTTAATGAATCTTGATGAAAAAAATCACCATATACAGGAGACAGAAGTGTGTAAAATTTGGTGCAGCTTGATTGAGTTTAAAGGGACTGCTGGGCCTTGGTGGAGATGTGCGTTTTGCAGTTTGTGCCACTTTATAATTCAGATTCCTTTCCCTGGTGCTGGTGAGGCCAGCAGCACATTATACACATATTCTGTCTGTGACAAGATATTCTCATTTTGTGCAAATTTTTTACCCACTGTATGACACTGACTCTTTTTATGCAACTTCCTCCACTCAGAGCAGTCTGTGACATGATCCCCCACAGCACCAGCACACTGGTCTCACAGAAATAAATGGGACAGGACACATCTTTCACCAAACAGCTACCAGTGTAAAAACCATTTCCATGACACTTATTGGAGTAAGTGGCAAAACTTTTAGGATCGGCTGAGCTGAAGACTTTTATAAAAAATAAAAAATCCATCAAAAGACTAAATAAAAATCTTGGTATTTACTGTGTCATGCTAACACTAAATTTAACTTTGACAGGGTTGTCTGAGGATCTATGTGGCATTTTCTATAAATGTCTGTTAAATGCACAGAACTGCTTGAACCATCAGGAATGCTGCCATGATTTCAACTGTGTATTTTATTGTAGATTTAATATGAACATGTGCCGCACAAACCACAGCCCTCTGAGGACAATTAAAAAGAACTTGAAGTTGCTCACTGTGAGTGGAGCAGCTCCAAAATACTCTCTTGTTGACAGGACAAAGGATCTTTTCCAGCTGAAGTACAGGGAAAAATAAAGGACTTAGTGTAACAAACGTGACGCGTTTTTCTTCTTTTGCTGATTGATTTGATAATAAATTGATTTGAGTTATTATGGGTAATTTCTTTCTTTTTTTAAAGAGCTCCTTTCTTTGCTCATACTCTGTCTTCCTCTTTAACATTTAGTATCTGCGCAATAAACAGCTTCTAAAGGTCACACTCTGTGTCTTCACTCATTTTATTTCTGATGCTGTGACATGAGCAGTTCATAGAGCCCTTTCCTCCCAGGTCATTTACTGCGGAGAGAGATTGTGTGCATATCATTCCTCCATTCCTTTCTCCAAACCAAGAGATTTATGAAAATCCTTTGCAATGTAAATTACTGCCATGTGAGAACGACGAGAAATATATCACATTTATTTCCTCAGAGCCGCACATCAATAAGAATCCAGATGACTGAAAGGCATGTGTACCCAGCACACACACGTGACCTTAAAGTGCACACAGAACTCAGACCTGAGGTCAGACGGTTTCACAAGGCCAGGCTGTAAATCTATGAAGAAACATATGTAGTTTGGCGCAGAATGCAGCCACTTCACCAAATATCACAACACTAGTAAACATTTTGATTTACTGACTGAATTACATTCCAGTCACTGGGCTGGAAAATGCCTTATTTCAAAAATTGCATGGATGGCAGTAACAAGTTGGTTTGAGTGAAGGTGTACCCAGAAACACTGAGGGGAACAACTGTGAAGACATACTTATATATTTCAATATTGTGGTTAAAAGGAGTGCCCACATTTCAACAAGCTCATAAAGTTACAGCTAATTTGAATTCAGACCAGATGAGTTAATAAAGTTAACGCTCTGAGTCGGCTTCCTGTCTGGTATCACATTCTCACACAAAGAGCAAAACTAATGAAAGCACTAAATCAAGAAATGAACCATTTGTTTCACCTTCTAACACAAACTGTTAGCGGCGAATGTTACTTACTGAGTGTAGACTGTATGGAGACTCTGTATAATGTGGCCTGTAGCAGAGGCTGCCATTGGACACACATGCTGCTGGAACGCACCTGGTAGGTTGACAAGCCAGAGATGCCGAGGAACACTGGAGAGAGGTCAATGACAGAGAGATCGATTTAGTATAGATTTCTTTATTCATCATTTTAAACATTTCTATCTATTTCCTTTGTATTAGATTACTCTTTCAACTAGTTAAAAAAATATATATATATAAATGCAGATTTTTGTATCGTTTAACCTCTTTACCCCTTTTATTCTACTTGTTTTAATCTCTTATTTTGCTTTGAATATGTTTTAAATTGTGCTCTCTGATTTTAAATTGAACACATGTTTGGTTTTGTTTTCCCTGTACAACACCTTGATTCTACATCTGTGTATGAAATGTACTTTGATAAGATTGTGAGTGTGTATCTGAAGACAAAAGTAAAGCAGTGTTTAGTGCGAAGTGTGAAGTGGTTTGGATTTTGCTCATTGAAATTCAGCAAGATAGATAAATTCCCAGAACATTTATAGTCAGTAAAAAAACTGAAGCAGCACTGGTCACTTTTGTTAATTATCCATTTAAATGGCTTTAAGTCATTTAAAGTTACACAGTTAGTGACGTTTAACAATAACTGTTGCAGCTTTTCAACCTTTCTAACCAGAAACTTGACCCTCTTCATTCCTGCCTCTCTCTCTCTTGCTTCAGTTCAGTAAGCACCCTCCACCCACTAGAGAAGTAAACACTCAGTCTCTCATGCTCATGTGAGCTTCGGTATCTGAACCAAACTACTTCCTATTCAATAAAACTCCTCTGCATCTTATTGACGATGCTACAAAGATTAATGGTTTAGGTTACAATTCTGTATCAAATGTCACCAAAACCTTGACCGCCTGGAAATTGTGTGAAAACATTTCAGGGTCAGCAGGAAGCATTAGAATGATGCTGACTTTAGGATCAGAGCCACACTCTCTGGATTGTGCATCAACTACACAAGTGGCACTTTGTTGAACATCTCTCTGGGCTCCTGTGAACAGGAAAACAAGCATCCATATACATTGTAAATGGTAAAAATATATATATACTCACATCAAACACGTCCTCACAACAATACTGTGTCTAACATTCGTCAGGATTGATGTTTAACCATCACGTGAAGAAACAATGAGGCACGATGCAGCAAAATGTAAAACACAGTGAGCAATTTAAATAGCTGAAGCTTGTACGATAGTGAGATTCCAGTGGATAGCAAAGGTGATAAAACCTCTCTCCCCTTTGTTCTCTCTCTCTCGTTCCCTCTTGTTAACAGAATTTGCTGATGGTATCAAATAAACTTGGCTCCTCTCTTGCACCAGTAAATGGATATTTTATGCTGGGACCATATGGCAGGTGCTTCGTTTTAAACACTGGTGAATAATGCATACGACAAGACATCATTCCTTTCAATAATATACAAAGACGCACACAGACTCACTCTAGTACAAACAGACATGCAACATGCACATTAGCATGCACACAAGTACAACACATGAATATGGATTAACTGTATGTAATCATTTATAGATGCATGTGTGTTTACATTTTTGCACCACAATTAGGGACTGTGTTACATGTTAGTCATGTATTTGGATATTGAATCGTCCTTAATGCACAAGCTGGCTCGCCAAACTGATGCAACTTTTGCAAAGTATTTTAAACTGCTGACCTGCAACTATAGTCAACAATGCTGGTTTGACGAACATATAGTTTTATTCGAGAGAATGAGTTGGAGTTAGATAACATTTAAATTATTTTCTGCATGTGTGCAAAGCCCAGTTTCTGCACAGAAGAAAAAATATTTAGACGAGAACAAAATAAGAAAAGGGAGGAAATGTAAAGAAAGAAAAATAAGAAGAAAAGAAAATGAAGATTAGTTTCAATCACTCATTTAACATCCAAAGGTCAGAGTGAAAGGGGATATCAACTATTGTGGACCATACGGAGAAGCTACAATCAGAATGTGTGTGTGTGTGTGTGTGTGTGTGTGTGTGTGTGTGTGTGTGTGTGTCTGCTGAAGTTGCCTGGCTTGAAGCCAAACATTTGCACCCATCTGCTTCCACGACCTCCACACCCTCAGTTTATTTATTCTACCTCTTCCAGATTCTTGTCAGGTAATCCTTTCAAAATGGGAGTTTAAGTCAAACTACATTTAGTCTTTAAAAATCGTAATAAAAAATTTGACATTGTGCAAATCCTACAATGTTTCTGAATACGACATTGACTAAGCACCCTTCAGTGTCATGTGAAAAACAGATACTTATTGTAAAAAAATAAAGCTCTTGGACCTAAAATAAACTAACACTTCATTAACAGGAAACAGTTTCATTGCATTCAATGGTCCTCAAGGCACCAATAATTACCTTTCTACACTACATGCTAGGACGTGTAATTTATTGGTGCAAACATGCCAGTTGGCCCCATAGTAAAGCAGCAATTAATACAGTGCACCCTGGGAAATGTGTTACTGTATCTCCCTTATAGGAATGAGAAATGACTGAACACATGTCCTTAATAAATCAGAGTTTCTCCAGTGGACAAATACAGTCAATAAATTTAACTACATTCTGCGTAACATGGAAAAATCGGACAGACTTGAACATTTATCAGTGCTCTGGTAATTTCTTGCAACTGATAGAGAATGTGCTAAAAACCTGGCCTACAGTAGAGGAAGCCAAACCACAATGGGGTAAAAAATATGATATGCACAGATAGAAGTCTAGAAAATTGTGGGAGGAAATGCGGATCTCTGAAACTGCCACTATGTATTTACCTTAAAATAGCCGCTTCATAACTAGTTTGATCGTCCACTGACTTTGAATGGGAGGGATGGTGCCTGTTCTTGCTTTGGTGAGTGAGTATGATCTCCTGTGAGAAGCATGTAACTAATTGATATAGTCGCCAGAATCAGGCTGAGCAAGTTCAAAAGTAATGGCAAAATGTAGATCAGCTAAAAAGACTTAGACGTCATTAAAAATCAGCGTTTATTTCCAATATTAAGCAACAAAACCTAAGTATGAAGTATGAAGGATTCTAAATGGAGATTGGTGTGAGTGGCAGAGGCTGCTCTTCCCATTCAGGAAGCTGAGTATCATGAGGAACATCCAGAGGTGCTTAAGTTATTATCTATAGTTAGTCGGCACAGTGGTGCAGTGGTTATGCATGTTGCTCTGCATCAAGTCTGCATGTGTGGGTTTTATTCAGGCAACCCTGCTCCACATCTAAAGACATGTTAACTTGAGACCATAATTGGCCGTAAGTATGATTGTGACCTAGTGTGAATATGTGAAATGTTGTTTGTCAGCCCTGCGATACACTGGCGACCTGTCCAGGCCTCTTGGCTAATGTCCGCCCCACAACCCTCACAGGATTAGCAGAATAGATAAAAGATGGATGGATGGATGAATGTATATTATAAATGTTGCTTATGAATTTACAGTACCTGTTAAATTTGGTAGGGTGGACAGTAGAGGTGCCGTCATCAAGTGCTAAATCAGGCCAGTGTGTTAAGACGAGCGGCTGATGAATCTACATGTCAGTGCCTCGTACTTTATCTTTATCTCATTATGAAAGCATGTTTCATTATGAGAGCTTTACAGAGACAGGAAGGCATGTGGGAACTGTCACTCATCCTCCAGGGGGATGATTAAAGAAAAGAAGAAGGATAACACGTCACTGCAGCAAAGAAAAATGTGTGTATCAAAAGCTTCTCCTTTAATTGATTGTGTATAAATACATGAATGATCTGGAATTGAACTGAAAAATGGGAAACCTAATTTTTGAGGCGTACTTTATCATGAATGAGAAAGGTATTTATTCTGTAACATATTTAAACTAGAGTGTTGAGTATCATTGTGTTCCATTGGTTGTGCCAATCATCCAGTGAATCCAAAAGATTTTAAAGTAAGGATGATACAGCAGTTTTCTGAAAAAACACACACACACAGACACACACACTGAGGTTGGGAAGCTGGAAAGGAAAGAACAGAACATGCACATGCCGAACATGCACACACATAATACAATACCTAGAGACCTTTATCTCCCTCTCTTTACAACTCTGTCAGTCTCTCTACCTCTCTCACTTCCTCCTTGTTTTCCGTGAGAGAAGGTTTTACTGCACCCACTGATACCACATTTACATACATAAAGGATTGTGCTCATGGCTGACTGGAATATATCCTTCTGTCTATCCGTCTGTTTGCTGAAGTCTCAATGGAAATTAAAGCGTATGGTATCAGCAGGTAGTTAATATGCATGTTGTACCTTTCTCGCTTTCTTCAACCTACTTTGCCGCTGCCATCTCGGTCTTCTCTTTCTAATAATCACTCTCTCCTCTGTGGCAACTTATAGTTGATGACAACACCATTATGTTGGAATGACACATCTTAATATTTGGTTTGACTTTCCAAAAGTAAATCAGGTTATTGTATTCTAAAATCTTTAATATAAACATTTTGCCTGAACAAACTAACGGTGACACAGCCTGTCCCATTAACGGTCATGTCTTTACACATTGTTCCCAACAATGTCAACACAAGGAGTTAAATCACATCACATTCCCCCCATCTTACTAAGTGTGTGTAGTTGTGTGTGGTACGGAGGCTCACGTGTTTTAGTGTTCACTAGCTGCGGTTCACTCTGTCCTGAAGGGTAGGAGGCCGTCACTTGAACACTGTATTCTGTCCCACTTAAGAGATTCATGAGGAGCATGGAGTTCATATCTTCACCCACTGTTGTCTCCAAAACTGGTCCTGGAACTGATAACACAGATGCTTCCATAAGCCCAAACAGAAAAGGACAGAGGATATCACAGAATGCATAATGCAGTAGAGCAGATACAGTAACTATACCAAGGTTGAACAATCCTACACGATTGTTTAAGAAAAAAGAAAGTGGTGTGAAAACCTAGAGGATTCATCTGAAACCGAACATATTAAAGAAAGTGAATTCCTACAAATTATATTATAAATTATTAAAATTCCTAGGTCTGCCCCTATACATTTAGTCTGGTCCTCTCCTTGGAAAAAGTATAACATTTAAAATTGATTTGAGAAAAACAATTTTGGTCCAGTTTTAGAATAGAAACGTACAGGATTATGATTTGCATCTGAGTCAGCTACTGAAATAACATTGTCACTTTTTACTCATCAAATTGAAGATTGAGGACAGCTCTACACTGCAATACAAAAGCAATGCTCTACGGGTTTTCATGATTTTTATCATCAGCTGGTGAAGATGTTGACATGATTAAGACAAAGAGGAGCTACCGAGTAACTTATATTTTATAATGAGAAGCTGCTTTTTTGTATTTTTGAATTTAGAGCCAAAAACGGCTTTAAAATTAAAGAGGAAAATGTGCCACCATTAACAACGCAATGTGCAGAAAAGTCACTAAAAACTGACACATACAGATATATTGGTATGCGGTAAGTGTGCAGCTATAACCTGCACAAATACACTTGTATGCACCAGGTCATTAACAAAGATGCTCAGAAATGCATATATGTACACAAAAATGCACAGGCACACAATTATAAAAGAGAAATATGATAATAATAAACTTAATTAATGCAGCTCTTACAAATACCTGCAAAAAAAACAATCCTGCATAAATATGATAAAGTGCTTAATTAAAAAAGATACAAACGCAATAAAATAAAAAAAACACAAATAAAGGAAGAGCAGCCTTATCTTTACAACACACCATCCACTGGAGTGTGGGGGAAGAAATGCGTGTTTGTGTAAACTAAGATTCTGACAGGGAAAGCTCCAGCCTGTTAAACTGTTTGATACCTAATCAGAATCCTAATATTGATTCTGTGCTATGGTTGAGGTTAAGGAAAGGTTGTGGTGTCTGTCATAGGTCAACAACTTGTGTCTTAAGTCATTGTGGATTTCTTTTTTTATTAAACAGGATGACCTTTGTTTTTTTTTCTAATTTACTGAAACAAAGAACAAAGACTCAGTAAAATCTGTGTGTGTGTGTGTGTGTGTGTGTGTGTGTGTGTGTGTGTGTGTGTGTGTACCATAAATGGGCTGGTAGACAATCCTGTAACCCAGTGTAGGAGTCTGCGGTGGATCCCAGGTGACCCTGAAGCGGTTGTACCACTCCTCTGATACACGGAGGTTTCCAGGAGACAAAAGGGGCCCTGCAACAGCACCAGACATCGGAATATACAGGTGCTTCTTAGAATGTAGATTTAAACACACACATGGCAAAAGAGTTTGGGAAAGAAATTAAACCCTCAACTGAAGCATTTGAGCATTAATGCTTAGATTAAGTCATTCAGACACATTTTGGTTGGTGCATGATAAAATACAGAGTTTTAATATCAAGCAGTAATATGAATTGAATGTTTGTTCCTTATAGCTGGTGACAGTATTAAAACCAAGGTATTTTAGTTTTGACAAACTGTGAATTCAATTATGGAAAGTTGTGTCTCTTTTGTTTGTTTGTTTTCAGTGCCAGGCCTGGCTGACTTTGAGTTATCGCAACGTTGTAAAGTCCCACAGATGCTGATTTATCTGAGAAGACAGTTTCCTCTCCCAAAAATATATAATGGTGTCTGACTGTACATGAAGTGTGTCTTGGCTCTGATTTATGGCCTTGTTGTTTCTGGGGCTGAGAGGATTTTTTTATTTACAATATGGCAAGCTATAGCACTCTCATCTAAACAGACGACGAATTTCATGTGACATTTCCGTTCTTTGTACAATGACAAGAAATCACTACTGTTCATGAGAGGTAATCAACAGAACGGTTGAGAGAATCAATTAGAGCATGGAAAAATAATTTAATTGTCCCATTAATGAACGGAGCTGCTGTAATTATGAACGGCCTTCATTAGGACAATTAAGAACGCATCAGTATTTGTCATCGCTTTTAATTTACATTCTCCTTCAGGAGCGAACATGAAATTAATTCAGTGCAAATGAACATTCTGCTCGCCGCAACGAGATTCATTTTGTCAGATGTGTTCTCCTAAACTGGGAGCTGCATCTTTGCCTAATGAGCAAGGGAAGGGAGAACTGGCACCAGTGATCAGTAATTCAGAGAAATGTGTGTGTTGTGTGAGTGAGCATCATTGTGGGTTTGTCAGGCTTACGTGTGGATCCCATGGCAGAGATGCTGATGCCATCTTGTCCGTCCCTGTACACTGGCGTGACCGTCACTTTGTACTGGGTGTCTGACAATAACGGCTCAAGCAGAGCTCTCCTTTCTCCTCCAGGAACTAACACCTACACACACACACACACACACACACAAACAGGAGACACATTTAAAGCTGTTCGACAGTGAACAGAGTTTTAAAGCAATGATGACTTCTGCCCATTTGGGACTAACTTGCACACAGGCAAACGGGCAAGCATACAAATAAAGAAGAAGAAAAAAGGGACACACACACACACACACACACACCATATAGCAGAATACATACAGAATGTGTTGCTTCTCTCTGTTGGCTTGTATGGACATTTGGAGAGAAAGATTAAGGCCAGGCTTAATTTGGTGAGACAGAAAGTGCCTGCAGAATGTTATGTATATCTTAAGGGATTCAAACCACAACTGTTCAAGAATTCTGCTCACTTCTGTTTAGTCAATAAAGTCAGTTGAGGTCAATGGTGAGGCAGAAATGAGCTGAGAAAGAAAAGCCCATTACTGCTGGCTTTTCATTCAGGAGAGTTGCAGTTTGTTCTTTCTATGCATCTTCAGGATTCTTTTATTTAACTTCTAATCAAAAAGTTTGAAACAAACCACAGTGTCACATAAATATAACACTTGCCACACTGACTCTGAGACAAAGATAAAAACCCTGATGTTGCTACTCTATAAAATAATTGACTTCAGATGATACAAACAAAGAGCTGGGCTGCACAGTTTTACTGACCTTGGAAAAGAAGCTGACAAAACAGTCTCTACTCAAGGTCCTCGCTCGCTCATTCTTTAGGCTCTCAACTTTATTACAGGCAGAGTTTCAGGAGCAGGACTACACCTCAACCACAGCGCTTCAGGGCGTTCTATAAATGCTCTCAGAACCTTCTTCCCTTTTGTTCTCATATTCTGTACACCCCTCACCCCCCACTCCAGTCTCCCTTTGTTTGTTTCTTTCCTTTTTCCACTCCATACGGTCTTAGGGGATCTGTCATACCCTGATGCTACAGCGAGTTCCCACTGCGATTCTTCCTCAAAATGCAACCAAGACTCAAGAACCCTAGTGTGGTCCTGTCCACTGCATAAGTAGATGATGTCAGTTGTCATGGAACTGCAAAATAATTTAGGTTTGACTTGAATGGTGAATTTACACGAAGACTGGAAGAAATGTCTGAAAGCTGCAGAATAAGCAAGAAATTGGACCCTGAGTAAAGATTATTTTGTTGATCAACTAATGATAATTGTTAATTATTATTAATTTCAAACTTACAAAATTTTGAACTTACTGAGACACTGAAGCATTTCTTCAGAAATTCTCACACAATCATCTGACCAAAAAAAGCCTGCTCCTTATTTAATCAACTTTCTTACTTGTAAAGACAAACTATTGTTGGATATTCACATAAGAAATCCCTCTAACATTTCTCTGTCCGTGCCATTGTCTGCTTTCTAAAGCAAGACTGTCTGTGTGTGTGTGTGTGTGTGTGTGTGTGTNGTGTGTGTGTGTGTGTGTGTGTGTGTGTGTGTGTGTGTGTGAAAGAGAGACGTGTATAAGATAAGGCCAATCCATTAGGAGGAGCTGTCCACTCTGACTGAGGTGCTGAAACTCCTCAGTGTCAAAGCAGGGAGCCACACACAAAGATTTTTAAACACACCCCCACTACCTTAGGAAACACAGAGAGGTCCGTGCTGTCTCTCTTGCCCTCTATCTGTCTCTCACACACATCCACATCAAAACACATTCAAACTTCCAGGAAGAGGGTTGACCTAAAACAACTCTTATCTATCAGCTGGCAGACAGGTTCAAGTCTTTCTCCACACTTTGTTTTGCTATTGTTTCTCTTTCACTCTGTTTCTTTTTGCACTTTTCTCAACTGCTTCCAGTGAGGTAAAAGGCTACTGAAAAGATAATGGGGTGTCTTCTGGTTGGCCCTGGCCTCTCCATCTTCTACAGCTCTGACACCACATTGGGAAATTAAAACAGTGGAAGGAAGGGGAAAGGGGGAGGACAGTATGGAGAGAAAAGACAAGAGGGAGAAGAAGCAGAGGAAGAAAGAGATGGAGGTAGAGATGGAAAAGAAGGAAGCGGCCGAGTGTGTGCATCAGTGAACAGGGTCAGTACATGGTGCTGAGCTTAAGGGCTCTTACCACAGATCGAGGGATCAGGGAGCAAAGGTCGAGTGGACCGGGACTACAAGTGTAATCATTTTTCTGATTTGAAATGGGCCCCGACACTGACCGCTGCAGTCGCCATCCAGCTGACTGGAGGTTTGTAATAAAAGAAACCATCTTCCTCTCAACTCCAGTGTTGTCTATTCCAAGTAATTAGTGTCCACAACTGATCAGGGGGAGTTAGTGTGTTGACATGTGTGTGTTTGAGAGCTGCACTGGACTATAAGGAGGGAGATTTAAGAAACTGTAGGCATGTTGTAATAGGGATCTAAAAATAGCCTTTGGAAAGAGAATTAATTAAAATCAAAAAGCTGATCAAATCCACTGCAAATCTCCTTAAACCTCTAAATCCGTCATCTGTACATGATTCTTTTAAGAGTAACAGCGCAGGATCCACTCACAGACTCCTCTTGGTGGTTGCCCCAGAGGCCAGCATAGGAGACCCTGTAGCTCTCCACGTGGGGGTCTTCCATCTCCCACGATGCCTCTAAACTCTGGGTGGTCTCGTCGCTCAGCTGCAGGTTTCTCACAGCCTGATGAGCCACTGCTACGCCAAATCACAGATGACAATTATTGCACAAAAGTTACTGTGGGATGTGAAGCAAACTCTTGGATAAAGCCCCATTTTCTTCTCACTTTTAATGTGGTTTGGTAAAACTGTGGATTTGAAAAATGTCAGTTTGCCATAAACAGCAATTGTTAAACTGCCAACATGGAAAAAAATCTGGCACAGATAGAAATATGAAAGTATTTTTGTTTTTAGTTTCAGCAGTCTATGGCTTTAAATCAAAGTATATGTTCCAGACATAATAACATAACAGCTCCAAACTGCAATCCTTCATTTTTAAAACAGATGTGACTGACGTGGAGCTGTGATTTCAAAGAAGTGCTTGCAGATGAACATTTTTTTAATTTAGTGAGAAGAGGATAAAATTCAGGAAATGTGTTGTTATTAAATTGCTGCGAGTGGACAAAACGCTCTGACTCCATTAACTGTAACGCTCCTCCAGGTCGCCTCTGAGATAATGGAGGTTGAACTACAGTCTCTGGGTGAAACCAACTTGGTGAACACAATTTTAAAGGGGTAGATCTTCTGAACTGTTTTTATGAGGTGCAACCTGCTTGAGAATGACGTCAGTGATTCGGTTTTCCAGTTCATCAGTCTCAGTAAACCGTCTGTGTTTCTGGTTTTGCTTGCGGAAACTAGATGAGCAACGAAGATCGTAAATCTGCTACAGGAAGTAGAGGAAGTACAGACTCTAGACTACAGTTAAACTAAATCAAATAAAAAAATACATATCCAGAATTGAGTAAAAATTTTAAGAATGCACTTGAAATTTCAACATTTATGTTGAATGTTTTAGAATATACTAAACATTCTTAATCCTCTGATATTGCTTGACTTTAGTCTCAACATTTCAACTTAATTTTTGAAAAACATAAGGAATAAAAAATGTCCTCCTCTAATTTTTTTCCTCACAAATACTCTTCCAAAGACTTTTAAATTTCAATTTCAGAAGAGTCTCTGGACAGATGCTTTGGTTTGAACCACGATTCGAATTTTGACTTTACTAACATTATGGAAAATAAACGGCACAATTTTACTCCAACATGTCTCACCCGTGGTTGTGGCAGCAACTGTTGTCGTCATGGCCACTGGAGACATACAGAGAAATCAGATAAAGGTATAGAAACTCTCCTCAACAAAATTACAGAAATACATTAAACAAAAAAACATTACATAAATAGAAGATAAAAATATAATAAGAAGAAATTATAGAAAAAACAAGATATTGACGGGAAAATAGATTTACTTCCCCTGAGAAAAACTAAGACAAACAAATCAATGCACAGAGGTTCAGGTAGAGTGAGGCTTTGAACCCAGAGATGTAAATTTGATGGACCTTTATGATCGCTCTCATTCATTATTCTCAGCAGACAATGAAACTCTAGTCTTGAGGGTTACTTAAGTCACAAGCTAATTTCAGTATCAGAGCAACCAAGGGGATTTTATTTTCCAATAAAAAAATACCACAACCCCCCTGAGCAAGTAACATGTACATGTTTGAAATTACACACGTGACTTACATGTGGTCTCTATGACAGAGACAGTGTCGCTCTCTGATTCATCGTCGAACACGGCCGTCAGCATGACTTCATACTCAGTGGACGGACTCAGGCTGGTCAGCAGGTATCTGTTATCACTTCCACTCAAGATCACCTACACACACACACACACACACA